ATCAATCAAGGATCAAAGGAGAAAGAGAAGAATACAAAAAAAGACCTTGGAAGTAAGTAGAAAATACTACACATACATACTCATTCATTTCATTATGGTTCACAAGCATAACAAAAGAGGGATACCACAAAATATATCACAAAGTTCGGATCACAAGTTAGCAATGAAAGGAATTCAAACAAAGACAAAGTTAGAAGACTTAAACCATTTTAAAGAGTTTAAATAAAGATTATAACATGATATGAGTATATGATCAAGAGTTTATAATGTTGATTCTAAAGCATGTTGCATAAGTGCATTCAATGTACCTCAAAGATTCAAAAGAAAAGAAAGGATCGAACATCAAATTCACAATAGGATGAAATGGTTCAAACATTGGAGGTCAAGTGATCTCAAGTATTTATGAGACTATACTTGATGTATCATTCCCTAACATTTTATCATTGGTCATTTGATGACCTCAAACTTAAGAGAAAAATTCAAAACTCAAAGCAAAATTCACAAAAGAACATCACTTAGGAGGTATGGATCAAAAAGTGCTCATCAACCAATTATGAGAAGTCAAGAGGATTGACTTGAATTTTTGTGAGAAAACAGAAGCAATATGATCATTAAGTGCCAAATTATAGGCCTCACATAAGTTCATTGGCCATCAAAAAAATTGCAACAAAGAATGCAACATCAATTGGTCACTTTCACTTCAAAAATACATCAAAAACAGAAAAGGACTTCAATAATTCAAACCAAAATTTTCTTAACATCTTTATGAGGTGTAAAGGTCAGAAAACAAGTTTGAAGTTCATGGATAGTAGAGGAGAGGATCAAGTGAGGCTCAAAGATCAAAACTAGTTGGCAAAACTGCCAAACTAGACAAGTTTTCAAAGTAAATCAATAAAAAATACCAAAACTTATCAATTAATTCAAGAAAAAATATTTTTTAGATTCTCAATCCATCTATGAACTTCAAACAAGAGCTAAATTCAATTGAAACTCAAGGAAAGTTGGTTTTGAAATTGAAACTTGCAAAGTAAGCAACAAAACCTTAATTATTTGGAAATTAATCTTAACAATTAATTAATTAAGACTAAAGCCCAAACAATTCAAAATGAGAATTCAACAAGCATGATAAAACTCATAAGATTAGAAGAATCATTTTACATATTTTTAAACCAAGAGGAAATTCAAAATTAAAAACAATTTTTAATTGATTCAATAATTAAACAATTATTTAATCAATAAAATGGAATTATGATCAAAACACAAAATAAATGTCAAACAAAATTATTTTATGATTCTTCTGATCCAAACAAACTTCCACGAATTTTTTTCATAATTTTTGCATCAAAGAAACAATTATTCAAAAATTAAATCAAATTAAACAATTAATGAAACTTAAGAATTTTCAGACCAATCAAACAATTTCCAAAAATTATAAAAAAAAAATACACAAGGTCATAAATATTATTTCTGACTTCCACGATTTTTTCCAGAATTTTTCAACCATTTTTGAGCAAGAAATAAAATCAGGAAAATCAAGTTATAAAACAAAATTCAAATAAATGAAAAATTCAAATGGACCAATCAGGAGGTGACACACTTCGTCTTCAACCTCTGGCCCTAACCAGAAACGCGTGCAAAACAGATCCAATACCTCATGTTCATATCCTTCGTTCAATCTCAATTCTCAACCAAAAAGTGTGAAATCAAGTGCAAAATAAAGCTAGGATAACAAACTTCAACATGATACTCATAAATTTTCAAATAGATCAAAGATCAATGAGAACGAAGCAAGAGAAAAATCATGAAACTCGGTTTCACACAAAAAATCAGAAATCACAAACACAAGGTTTAAGCTCAATTCAAGCATCAAGTATACATCAGACCTATTTGTCTGGCCAGCTAACACACAAAGCACATGATCTACATCATCAATTCAAGCTGAATCATGCAAATCAAAATTCAAGAGAATTCACCTTAAGCAAAAATCTGGAAACTTGATTCCCTCACTCCAGAAGCAAACCAATGGTGCAAGCTTGATCTCCTTACTTCACTGAAGTTGGATCACCAAGAATTTTGAAGAATGATCCAAGAAAAAGAGAGATTCGAAGCAATTTACAGAGACACTTGAAAAAATTCAGATCTGAAATGTGGTGACTATGAACACCTCCCCCTCAAACTGAGCCTTGGTTCTTGTTATATAGCATGAGAGGAAGATGACAGAAGTGGTATTTGACACTCAAAGCCGTTGGAGGGCAAGTTTGGTAGTTTAGGCCAAAATGGAATGTGCACATGGATGTTGCGTTTCACTCGTGCATTCTTTGGCTTTCTTTGCATTTTGTGAGTCAAATACATTCAGACATAAGTCCATCAAATTCCAGGTCATCATTTCTTGTGATGAGAGAGTGTGAGTGCTTTTGCAAAAGTGAGCAAGTTTGACATTTTTGAAACCATGCGAGTACAATTTTCACATGGGCACGGGATAGAGAGTGAGATGGGCCTCAGAAAGTTCTAATGTTGCCATGGGCTTGATTTGGAGTCATGAGGACAACTTCAATTGAAGTTATCAAGAATTGGCAAAATGCATGGTGTGCATGAAATCACAAAAAATACCTCAACTTCACTTCTTCGAAGCTCACCCATCCCTTGGAATTTTTAAGCATATGAATAAAATTTGGAAAGCTCTTGAAAATCTCTTCAATGTTGTAGTTTTGAGTTTCTTCAATTGAATCTCACAAAGTTCTCAAAATTGAGCTTGAAAAAACTTGCCTTTTTGAAAAAGACCTTTAATTTCACCTTGAGACATGAACTTCCCAAGACCATAACTCTTGATTCCTTGACAATTTGAACATGAGACCAAAAGGAGATGAAATATCATCCTCTTAGCTTTCCAAGAATATCTCATTTGCATTTTTCTGGATCAAGGATGAATAAATGGTGAAATTTTGAAGTTAAGTCCTCATTTTCTAAATTTAGAAACTTTTTAGGGTTTCTTCATGACCAAGTTTCAAACCAAACTTCAATCTTCTTGATCCAATGATCAAAATGGACTTGAAATATGAAAAGTACACCTTTGACTTGATGGTTGACCAAAAGTTCACTTGGTCAACTTTGACTGATTTTGGCCAAAATGACCATTTTGCCCCTTTGAATCAATTGAACCACTTCTCTTCAAAATTGGTGAACAAATCTTCAAACATATGATATTCCAAACACATAGAGGCTATGGAAAGAGTTTACACTCAAAATTACAAAATATCTCTGGTTAAAACTCAAACCCTATTTTTGCACTCTGCATTAGGAGATAGCAGATCAAGCTTCAAACCCCTAATTCCACTGGGCATCAAGAGAAGGTTTCTTGAACAAATTTGATCCCAATGATGATAAGAGAATGATGTTTCAATACTTGGCTCATCCAGACCCCAATAACTCTAATTTGGACAACACCCTAATTTTGACTAATGAAACAAAAGGATGTGATTCTCTCTAGAATCAACACAATCTTCAATCTTCTGATGATCCAATGAGATGGATAAGATGTCTTGAGATATTTGAAACCTTTGGGCTTGAAAGATCCAGAGGTATAGATAATAAGGCTCTCCTTGAGCAACTTGTCAATACAATCAGTCTTCCAAAGCTTGAGGAAGACTTTGATAACTAAAATACTTTGATCCCATCACAATGTATGAATGCAATGCAATATGATGTTTATGATGAAACATAAGCCTAAATCAAGAGGGTAAATTTTGGGATGCAAAAATATGGATCTCTTTGCTTCCTTAGGCATGTCTTTCTTGTCCACGTATTTCTATAGTTGACCCTCGCAGATCAGTTTCTCTATCTAGGTCCTTAGCCATTGACACTCATATGTGGAATGCCGATCCATATGGTGATACTCGCAATACATTATTCAGCCTATATTTGAGGAGATTGTTGCTATCCTTGTTGAGACGATCTCAGGGCTACAACAGACTATTCTTGAACTTCATGCAAGACAATATCTTAAGCAGACAATGCTTTCCTTCTAAACTTGACTCCATAATATCAACCTGTATTGAATCCCTTCTTAGCAGACACAAAACTGATCAAAGATTTCTGTAAGGCATAAAAAATATAGGTGCTCATGCGAAAATACAACTACTCATGCTCCTGCTAAGGCGACTGTGTCTAGGTCGTTTTGTCATTTTTTAGTTATGTTACTGATTGTTTTGCGGACGTTTCGGGGATGAGCATATGGGTTGAAATGATAAGGACGTCATAAATAGGCTCCAAGTTTTTTGCATCGCCAAACTAAAATTAGACTATGGTATAAACAACTTAGTATACGATTTATACCATAAACATTTATCATGATAAACACTTATGTATGAATTGTTTCTATAGCAAAAGATGAACTAAAGTTAAGTTGTTTTCGTATAAGGTATAAACTGTTTCTATAAATTGTTTCAGAGAACTTATGAAAATAAGACAAAAACAACGTATAAACATGTCATACGATGTTTTTAATATTGTCTCAGATGAATGTTTCACTCGAGAAGTCAAAAACATTAACCCATTAACAATGAATATCTTGAGTAATCACACACACACATAGAAAGACCTCAAATTCTGCATATATTAAATTAACTAAACATCAAGTAAACCCCTTACACAGAAAACAGTTTTGCCTTTTCAGATGACAATAAGGCTTTCCTAGCTAAGATATTCTCTATCTTTATTCTGAATCGCCAAACATATCCTAAAATATCGCATAGTTCCTTTCATCCGATAATGAAGTTTATTATAAAAGATATTACTAACTAATAACTATTCCTTCTATAGCTAACTAAAAACTATAACTGATAGAATAGAATATTTTGTTATTGTTTGCCATAATATTCTATTCTATCAATAACATGCAACAACACCTTCTTTGTCTAAACTGAGTTGCGAAAAAAGAACCTTCTTTGACTAAACTGAGTTATTGTAACTCTATATGTCTCCTCCTGCTTGTGACTCTAAAACTACATGATTGCTGAAATTCCTGTATCTATGCGAAACGAAAACGCAGTATCTGGTTGGTGCACTCCTTCCCTGCTGCATAAAATAAGTTAAAACCAAATATTTATAAATACGAGAAAAAATGTTACGAAATGTTATTTGTCTAATGCGAGAAGAGCGATCACTGTGGTCCAATGCATGAGGCTCCCACGAGGCGGAGTCTGGAAGACTGTGAGTCAAGAAAATCTATTCACAATTAGTTCAAACCTGTCCTCGTCAGAGTTATCGGCCATGACATTTCGTGCATAACTGAAAGATTCGGTGGGCTGGAGCTGGACATTGAGATTATCTGTAAGAAGAATAATCTTTATCAGTACAAATACAAAGAACAGAAGATTACGACTTTGTTTGGATAAAAGCTTAATTAGGCCCTCGTTAGTGGTTATACTGATAGATAAATTCAAATGAGTCAATCTAAATGTAATGATTCTAAATATGATTTCAAATATAGAATCAATACCATCTGAAACTCTTGATCCATTCATGTCGATGCCTAAATGGGTTGGACTAGACAGAGATCTTTGGGCAACTTGCAACATTGCAAGACGCCTTCTCTGCAATTCAAAGAATCGGTTTTGCTCGTCAATTTGAAGCCTTGTCTGATACCGAGTATTTCCACAACTCATTGGACTTGAAGTGATTTCAGCATCGAAGTCAACATATTGCGGTGAATAATGAACATGGTGCTCGAATCGATATGGGTACTTCCTGCATTCAATATTATCTATGCATGCTTAATACACCGATCGACATGAACATTCTATTTGAACGAGAATTAATCAATTCACCTATCAACAAGTTTTGACCTCTCCTTGTAAGGTTTCACAAGAACTCGCGATCCACGAACATAGTGAGGATTTCCCTCCTCCAGAATGGTTTTCACAGTTTCTGGATGAACGAATGTCACAAATCCAAACATCCTTTCCTGCTGGCACGGAATCCTTACGTCTACAACGGACCCAAAAGTTCTACATAGTTAAACAAATACGTTAAAACGGATAATAGATGCGATAAGAGTTACACATTACATCAAAAACATAACTATTTACCTAAAGTAGTTTGATACATCATCTTCAGAGAAAGTGCTATCAGCTGGAAATGTCAAGTAAAGTTGTTGTGAAGCACTAATATTTTGACAATCTGTCTTTCCCATGAATTTCGCCGCATCTTCGGCCAAAACCACCGCATGCTGCCCATGAGGCCTATTAATCACAAACCATAACAAGAACAAAACTAAAGTGAGAAAATCTCAAACAATTTCTTACTTAAAGAACACAATATTGAAAATTCTATTTCGACATCTTTACCGGTCGATTAGCCGAATGCTGTTTCTCAATCGAATCAGCAGCCTTGTCAAATTGCAGCCCGACTTACCATGTCGCTGGCTCTCCGCTAGGTAACCTTCTGCCTGTAAGGCCTTTTTGTACTTATCATAGTATGCCATTGGAAGTGAAGCAATTGAAATAGGATTTCCTCTTTGTTTCAAAAGGTCGACGATTTCCGACTCTAGTTTCGCCAATGATCCGAGCGAAATCACTTGTTCGTCGTTAGCAGCAGCATCATTGTTTCCATAAAGCTCAGAAACAGATTGTCCATTATGATAGAACCTACAACTATTTCCATGTCTACAATATCCTTTGCTGAAATAGTAACATGTTTTGAATGGAAATTTACCGTTTTTTCTATTCAAACCGGAAACTCTTGAAACATATTCTAAGTAGTAGTTATTATAGAGATTAAAGTTAGCTGTTGTAGACTTTATTACACTATCTAAATATCGATGATTCTCCGAACCGAACAATGAGGTACGAGTTTGTTGTTCGGTGACGGAATCCATATAACCTACTGACATAAAATCTGAACTAGTATTTCCATCATGCATATTGTAAAAGGGAGATTGAACCTGGAAACTTGCTGGCGAAGGATTTCCCGCGGCCGAGATTGCTAATCGAGTAGCCAACATTTCAATTCTGATTCTCGCTTTAACCGAAAGTTCATGGATCACATGATCTGGTAATGAAGCTAAGTTAGCAATCTCTTGTTCACTATGTTCTTGCATAAGGAGATTGCTAATGATCCTTGGAGCATACTCCGGCTCAAATCTTTGAATTTTCTCGAAAAGAATCCTCGTACTCTCAGAAATTTCCATACTTTGTCTTGTTACTGCATAAGGTTCCAAAAACAAACAGTGAGAAAATTGCCATAGAGAAATCACACAACAAACTCATAATATTTCAAAACTACTAAGCACGGAGACAGGAAACATGACACCGATACTAACACTTCGACAACTCTAATAACTTAAAGAAATGAATAAATTAATCAATAATCAAGTATAATTGTTGGTCTCAGACACCCACAATGACACATACACATGTCTTTTATGAGAGGTGTCAGTGGTACAGAGAAATGTCTTTTATGAGAGGTGTCAGTGCTACAGAGAAATGCTAGCTAGAGATTCAAATTTCATTTCAACAAAACCATGTAAAACAAAAAGTTTTAATCTTCTTCATAGTTCATACATACCTGTGAAACAGAAGAATAAGAGAAAAGAATGCAAGTGCTTCAAGCACAATGCTTGTCAACACTTGCACATTCCATCATTAACCTTAAAATGTAAACAAAACAACTGAGTATGATTTTGCTTCTCTCTTCTCTCACTATTATTTATAGCTAGTAATCAAGAACCACACTCTAAGCATTAACACTTAGTTGCTGACTCTTTCACACTTCCACTTGTTCAAATATCACTGATTTTTGGGCTTATTTTTTTGCTTGATACTCGATGACTATTACTTGTTCTTCTACTGTGTGAGTCACAGTGACACCTTTGAATATCTTTTTATGAAAATGTTTTTTTTTTTTTGGAAAATTTAATGAATGAGAATAATAATAAACATAATTCGGAAAAAACAATGAGGTGAAACTTAGGAATTGGTCAAACTGAGGGGTCGGCAACATGTGTATGGCACGAATGTTAGATTTTTTGTGTCACTATTCAGAGGGAGAATAAATTAAATATGGAAGTGGAGTGTGGTTGAATCCGAACCATTGAATTGGATTCTTTAAGATTCTAAAATCAAAATCTTGTTGGCTTGGGTATGGGTCCGGGTTTTGGAATTTTTTTTTACAAAAATCAGGTATTAAAATAAAATTTCGCAAATAACCGCGTTTCGGAAAAAATTACGCAAATAATCATGTTTCAGATGACTCCCCAAAGAAGGAGTCATCTCACTTGGCGCATTCACCCCTAGTTTTGCCCTAGGCGCCATCTCACTTGACGCCTTCTCTCACTTTTAGCCAAGTGGGATGGCGCATGCACTTTAAAAGTGAGAGGAGGCGCCATCTCACTTGGCTCCTAGGGCAAAACTAGGGCAAAATGTTGTTTTATAAATAATTTGTCCGTTTCTCCGTCGTTTCTCACACTTTCTCGCACTGTTTTGTTATTTTTTACTCTGTTATTTGCGTCATGACATCGCCCATGATTTTTAGCAGAAATGGTTATGTTATCTTCTCCGCCACGAAACATGCGATGAAAATGAAATTCTGGCACATTCACTTCATGGAGCGTCTGAAGCGGGAGTTGATGTGATGGTTAGATGGAGACATGCGACAGGAAGACCTAATGTATGGTTGGAGGAAGTCAAAACAGACAGCGATGTAATGTTGATGATGCATGGGTCAGATGAAATTGTGTTAACAGTTGTAATTTCGTAGACGGAATATCGTGTATTTTTCTTGTATGCGCAATATTTATTGTAGCAAAATCTGTTAACGAAAAACCCTAATGTTTACAACATAATTAAGGAAAAATTTTATGTATTACAATTTTTATGTGGTCGAGGCAGACGCCTGATTCGGACAATTTTTGTGATTGTGTCCGACCTGACGGCATAAATCACACTTTCTTTCGAGCTTGTCAAGATCGTCCATTTCTGTTGTGATGCGCTTACTTTTGGGACGACCCTTCTTGTTCCTTTGCATTTGGTCATTGTGCCACACTATTTCGCCGTCGTATGCAGGCCAATAATCTGGTTTTGCTACCAAAGGAAAGTTGTTGTTGTAAACATTGAGCAACGTTTCAGATTTGTAAATGTGTGACAGAAGTTGCAGCGCGTCTTGATGGGTATAAGCACAAGCGGCAATGACATGAGAGCAAGGCATACAAAATGCTTGAAACCTGCCACAATCGCACCAACGAGAAGGTAGCATGACCTTATATTCTTGTCTTGGCATGCCTTCATTATGGTCGATTGTCTCTTTCACAATGAAGTTGTGGCTGTGTCGGTCAAACTGTATAACCATATGAGTGTTGGCTTTGGAACTTTCTGCCTTAATGTATTTCATGCAGCTTTCACTCCATAGTTGTCCAGATTGCAACACCGCATTCCACATTTCACCTCTTTTGGCAAACAACGCAACCATCCTGAAATACGTAGATTTTACCAAAGCAATGATCGGGAGGTTTCGTATGCCTTTGAATACCCTATTCATCGATTCAATAAGATTCGTTGTCATGTGCCCCCATCTTTGGCCATTGTCGTATGACTTAGTCCATTTTTCCACCGGAATATTATCGATCCACCTACCGGCTTTCGGATTTGACAAACGGATCTCGTTGCGGTAATATTTGAATGTGGGTTGTGTCAATGCATATCCCACATTCATAACCGCTTTCCTTAGTGTTTTTTCCTTGATCTCCCTCCTGAAATTTTGGACGATATGCCTAACGCAATAGACATGCGTAGAAGGAGGGTCATGCCAACCGTTTGCAGGATTATTGTAGGCACTTTCAATGGAGGCATGTCTGTCCGAGATCAAACAGAGATCTGGTTGAGGAGCCACGTGTGTCCGCAGGTTTTTCAGAAAAAAGCTCCAAGCACCACCGGTCTCCCCCTCGACTAGGGCAAAGGCAATGGGGAAAATGTTGTTGTTGCCATCTTATGCAACTGACATCAGTAGCGTGCCTTTGTACTTCCCATACAACCAAGTCCCATTAATTTGTATAATTGGTTTGCATGATGCAAACCCTGTGATGCAAGGTTGAAATGCCCAAAACACTCGACTGAATATTCTGTTGCCGTTTAGTTGACTACCATCTTGGGTGTATGCTGGCACTGTTTCCAGAACGTAAACAGTACCCGGAGAATACGTCTTTAGTGCATTCAGGTAGCGAGGAAGTTCTTGGTATGACTCCTCCCAGTTTCCGTACACCTTTTCAATCGCCTTGGTCTTTGCTAACCACGCCTTACGGTAAGATGGAGTATAGTTAAAAACCGTGTTGATGTGGGAGATGATTGTTTTCACCTTCAAAGATGGGTCGTTGCTGACCAGTGGTAGGATTTCTTGACAGATGAGATCGTAATTAAGTTTTCGGTGGTCCTGTGATTGGGTAGAACTTACACAAGTGTGGATAGTCATTGAACCTATGACCCAGCAATCACCTCTTAATTTGTATGATGCAGTCAGCTTGAACATACAGTCAGGGTGGACACACTTGATCTTGTACCTTTCTGGGTTGACACGGTCCACCTTAAAATCAACCGAGTTGAGCATGTGGAATTTTTTTTATGGCTCTGATGCATTCCTCTCTGTTACGAAACTTGTCCTTCTCTTTTAAGTTTTCATCCGACTGCATATACGGATTGAAAAATAAATCAGTAGACAGTTCATCTCCGCCCATGTTGAAGTTTGTCATGTGCGGAGGTGGTGTGTAGATTTCGTTTGCAGGAATACTAGGTATGCCATCATCGTCGGAATCATCATTCACCATTTCATCAAACTCTAACTCGTCATCTTCTTCTTCTTCATCAACTGCATCTACCTCAGCTTGTTCATTCTCCAAAGGATCAACCACTTGTGTCACCTGAGGCTCTCGCAGCATAATGTACAACTCAATAGAGTCGTACCCAGAATACACATGGCTGGAAAACATATTCTGGAGATCCTCGTCATCTTGAACTTCAACCTTATAAAAAATTATTTGGTTGTTTCCAAAAAAAACTGGATTCTGATAAAATATTTGTGTCACCGGGCCTCGTCCAAGTTTGGCCTCTAATCGTTTTTTGAAGTACGAGAAATTGGCTTTCCCGTTTAAAAGAAATCGGATGTTGTCTGTGTCTCTAAACAAAAACCCAGAGGTGGGACAAATGTATGTCTCACCGTTGAAATGTGCTTTGATGACATATTGTGGTGCAGAGGCCATTGCGTAGGGTTGTTTGAAGGTTTAAAGGTTGGAATGTTTGAAGTTTATGAGTTATTCGAAGGTTTGTATGTTTGAAGTTTATTGATTGTATGAAGGTTTGAAGGTGGTAAGGTTTGAAGGTTGGAATGTTTGAAGTTTATGAGTTATTCGAAGGTTTGTATGTTTGATTGTTTGAAGGTTTGAAGGTTTAATTGTATGAATGTTTGAAGGTTGGAAGGTTTGACAGATTAAGTGAATCAATGTTATGATAAACGTAAGACTAAAAATCTCATACTGAATTTCAATTAAGTAAGGATGTAACCCCCAAGGTTGTCAATAGTGTTACATGCATGTCATCCCAAAGGCTGTCACATAGCCTGTGCCTACTCTGCAACCAATGACACCTCTTATTCGCCAATTGGGATGGCGACACCTTTCATTTTTGTACTCTTTCGCCAAGTCCAATGGCGCCTCCCTTAATGTCCAATTGTGTTACATGCATGCAGATATGTAACCCCCTAGGCTTCCACCTAGCCTACGCCTACTCTGCACCTACACTGTAACTTGTAAGTCTCCTTCCATCACCTCCAATAGTGTTACATGCATTCAGGCATGGCATCCCAAAGGCTGTCACGTAGCCTGAGCCTACTCTACAACCAATGACACCTCTTATTCTCCAATTGGGATGGCGACACCTTTCATTTTTGTACTCTTTTGCCAAGTCAATGGCGCCTCCCTTAATGTCCAATCGTGTTACATGCATGCAGATATGTAACCCCCTAGGCTGCCACCTAGCCTGCGCCTACTCTACACCTACACTGTAACTTGTAAGTCTCCTCCCATCACCTCCAATAGTGTTACATGCATTCAGGCATGGCATCCCAAAGGCTGTCACGTAGCCTGAGCCTACTCTGCAACCAATGACACCTCTTATTCGCCAATTGGGATGGCGACACCTTTCATTT